AACCTGCCTACCGGCACTCAGCCCTCCCCACACCCAGAGGCACCTCCATCATTTTCCCTTGACGTGTCTACTTTCATTTTCCTAGGACGAATCATTTGACAATCTCCTGCCCATATTTCTAAGCTCGCTGGGTCTTGCTGTGCGGGTTTCGTGTCCTCTCTGGGGTTTCTAACACCAATCATCCGCAGGTTTCATTAGCATGCTGTTTACCCGTCTTTCAGACCACTAATGAAGATGTGAAGTGTGCCACCAATCCTCACAGCCCCCACCAGGTGCCCCTCCCTTGTCTGTGCTGGAATCATTATCCTTCCCTGTGTGACAGGGTCAGAACCAAACCAATTTGCATCAATCTTTGGTGCTTTGGGAAGCGCCATCCGCGCTACAGTCCTCTTGTAGTTACAACTGCTTCAGTTGCTCTTCTGGAGAGCTCCTGTCTCCTGGGGGAGGGGGGTATGGGGTCCAGCCAGCCCTCTTGGCTGGCAGGAAGCCTCAGAGCTACAGCAATGGCCAGGCAGGACTCAGGGTTGCACATGGCTGCCATGTTCCCCTCTTTGTGTCTTGAGCTGCACTTTTTGGGTAAACGAAACGAGCAGCACATTCTGGCAGCGGAGCGAGCAGATGTGTCTACTTTGGGCTTTGCACTTCTCACCATGTCATCTGTTTCTATTGACACATAGGGCAACACTCCTTAGGATCCTCCAGGGCCTACGAAGGCTCCTGGGCCTGATGTTCCAGCCGGCAAGGCTGAGGCGGGTTATCACTTCTCGGACAAGGCCTGCTACTCTCCATCTCTGCCCCGGTGCTCCTGTCTTCTCCCTCAACATCTCATCTTGTGGGAGAACCTGAGTTTGATTCCCAGGACCCGTGTAAAATCCAGGCATAGCTGGGCGTACCTGCAATCTCAGCACTGGGAGGTGGAGATAGGAGGATTCCTCAGGCTGGGCTGGTCAGCCAACCTAGTTGGTCAGTTCTAGAGTGAGAACTCTCTCAAAAAATAAGATGGAGAAGCAATGGAGAGACGCCCAACATTGCTCTCTGGACTATGCACAGGCATACATGGTCATGTAATCTCTCTCTCTGTCTCTCTCTCTCTCTCTTTCTCTCCCTCCCTCCCTCCCTCCCTCCCTCCCTCTCTCTCTCTCTCAAGCACGCACGGCAAAGCAGCAGTGACAGATTGGGGGGGAGGTAAGTGTGAATAGAGGGCTCTTGAGTTGGCTTCTGAGCTGCCCTGTGTGTGTAGACTACTTCTGGCTCCAGGCCCCCGTGGTCCTGACCAAGGCTCCCCTGGTCATTGCGTCCAGCTCTTCTAATCTGCATTCTACCGTAAGTCACTGACTTTTCTAACTTGATTCTTCCCTGCTGCTCTTTTGTGTGGAGCTGAGGGCAGGGGCCACTGTGGCTCCCGGAGCTTGGCTGCATCCAGGAAGACCCCAGGATGTGACCTTCAGCCTCACTTGACCTGAGACCCTAAGGGTTGAGGAAGCTGTGGGGGAGGCCCCAGTGGGCCCTGCTCAGTCCAGGGAAGAGAATGAGACCCTGACTAACCTTATACCTGGAAAGCCCCTGGAGGAATGTGGAGCGAGCAAAGGCCAGGGCATCATGAAGCAGGGGAATGCATTCCTGGGGAGTGACTGGAATAACATCAGAAACTCAGGATGAAGACCAGTGTGACAAAGGGCTTAGACACTCACGGTAAGCCCAACATCAGCTCAGACACCTTTCAAGGTCATGGGACAGACTTCCCTCTAAGTGTGTTTTAGCCTCGAATGGTCTTCCAGAGTCAACAACTGAATTCACCAAGTGCACATGCTAGCCAGCGGTTACCTCAGGAAGTAGAAGGCGGGAGGGAAGGGTAAGAGATGCTACTCTGCATTTATTACTCCAGGGTTACCATATTTCCCCTGAAAGTGTCAACAATTTTAAAAATGTGAGTAGAAAAATATTAAATATGCCGAGTCCATCTTTAATAGAACCGACAAGTAGTCCTACAATGGTTGCACGGCCTGCACCACTTCTCACTCAGTTGCTGTAACTGCTCTAGGAGTTAGTGGCTACTATTGGACCCATGTCATTGGCAAGGTACAGAGGTCCGTTAATCTACCCAAAGTCACACTCCTAGTATTGGCTGGAGCAGGAGTTGGGCCATGGCACTCTGTCTTCAATCTGTACCAGGTCATCGGCCTGTTTCTTTGAAGTGGGAAAGAGTCTAAGGAGACAGGAGAGTAGTGACTTGCCTAATCCATCCCGATCTCTCTAGGAATTTAAGGGATTTTTCTTTTATTTCTGAGATGGGGTCTTGCTATGCAGCTCAGACTGTCCTTGAACTTGTGATCATGCCCAGCTAAAACAAATTATTGTTATTATTATTAGAGACAGGGTTTATCTGTGTAGCCCTGGCTGTCCTGAAACTTTTCTGGCCTTGAACTCACAGAGATCCTTTTGCTTCCGCCTCCCGAGTGCTGGGATTAAAGGTGTGTGCTGCCACCACTCAGCAACAAATTTTATTTATTTTTGCATTTACTGAGAGAGAGACAGAGAGTTCACGTGCCCATGCCGTGGAGCCCATGTGCCGACAAAGACAATTACCAGGAGGCAATGCTCGCCTTCCACCGTGTAGGCCCCAGGGTCCACTCAGCTCTTCTGGTATCTTCACCTGCTGGGCACCTCACAGACATGGGGGAATTCCTAAGTGCTATCTGCCATGTACTGTTTTACATTCTGCTTACCAAAGAGACTGCGTGTGAAGTGCAACACACTTGGACTTCCTTCGACACCTCCCGAAGGCTACTGAAGAGTCAGGTATTGTTACCACTGTCTATTGCACAGTAAAGACGGGAAAACAGAATCACTCTGAGAGTTTTGGTTCCTTTGATCCTATGTAATTAAGCATTTTGGTTATTGGAGGTCACCTCCAAAAATATCAGGTATAGATCAAAATAAAGATGAAAAACTGTGAACCAATTCTGCTTAGAACTCAGGGTTCAGATTCGCACAGAAACTCTCCCCACACCCTTTGTCCCGGGTGACAGTCAAGTTTACCACTGCATCACCGCAGATACTTCTGACATGGGTTGCAATCACGGGGCTGGATTTCTCTTCATCAACCAGCCAACCCGAGTCACGTAGAATGAGCTAATCATGACTGCCTGCCTTGGCAAACAGGTTCTCTTTCTGTTTTTTCAAAGAGACCATCCAGGAGAGCTAGGGCCAGGAGGCAGGGGAAGAGCCGGGGACTGGAAGGTGACAGGGGCTAGACATGCTGGCAAGCAGGATGAGGAGCAGTGTCCCCGGCAGGCCATGGGCTCTCTGAGAGCAGCATCTTCGTGCAGGCTGTGGGTAAATCCTCCTTGACATGGCCTGAAGAAGCTCAGTGGAGGTCCGGGTACCACAGCCAGACTAGAGCAGACACATGGGAAAAGGAGCGAGGGGACAGAGGGAGAATAAACACAGCAAGGTTTAGCAGAGTGGGCTTCCTGCAAGGTCAGGGCATAGGTGCTTAAGGGATGGAACCCAGGCCGTGCCCAGTGTAGCTCTCCTCTGCCTTCTGGGGTTGGGGAAACCTCTCACAAGTTGCTTTGTTTAGAGACTCTGTCTTCCTCCCTCCTCCTCCCTGCATCTGTCCTCTGGTTAGAGTCGTGTGAAGCGGAAGACAATTTGGGGCTTATTAGTGTCCCAGGGAGACATGTAACTTGTGCTGCTTGGACCCAAACAACAAGAGTCTTAGCAGCAAACTCCAGCCGAGAAAGGACTGAGGAGTTGTCTCACCTAATCACAGGGAACGGCTCTCTCTGTGTTTGTGATTCGGTACGGTTGTCCGATCGGTTTTGATCGCTTTTCTCTATTTGCTGGCTCAGGCCATGCTGGAATTGTGCTAATTAGAAGAGAAATGGACAGAGTGATCCTGTCAGCCCTGGTTACTGGTGGGGACAAAGCAGAATATTATTCTGAGGCAATGTTTTGTAAGAGCCCTTCTCCTGCTCTCATTAGGAGGAAGAGGCCCCCAGGAGGGAAGTTCCGAATGCTTGGCCTGGCTAATGGAGCATGGGGGTGTTCTTGTGCAAATTAACTGCACTCACTCGTGCCAACCAGGGGCCTCACAGTTGCACCTGGTATCACCTGAAGCCTCCAACTGTCCTTGATCTAAAAGAAAAAAGGCCCGACAAAAGATGGGGAAGGCTGAAGGCCTTTTCAGACACAGGGACACACTTCCAAAGTGGCAAAGACTGATTCTAAATAGATACAAGCAGCCAGTTACAGGCTAGTCAGAACTTATGAACTGAACTTGGAGAGATCTCTGCTCATTCAATGGGCTGCTGCGCTAGGGTGGTCTTGGATCTCTCAAAGGATGGAGAAGATATAAAACAGACAACATGACTTCATGCTTGGAAATAAAGATAGGCCAAGTTTAAGCTGCTAAGAAACCACTTATTTGACCCCTGGAGCCAGCTACCTTGGCCAACCTGCCTTCTTTCCAACCTGCGGCCCATTTTCGTGCAATGCCTTAATGCTGGGGGAGAGGGGCTTCACTGCAAGACACTCATGGGTAATCCAAATGCTGCTCTGTGATCTGGGAGTCATTTCACCAGCCGCATCGTCCTTGTCCTCATCTGAGTGAACCACAAGAGCTACAACAATAACAAGACCAAACACCAAGGAGCAGTTGGCAAATGCCAGCTTAAAATTCTAGGATGGGCCACAAGTGGCGGCACTCTGGAGGCAGAGGCAAGCTGATCTCTGTGAGTTAGAGGACAGCCTGGCATACATGTTAAACTCCAGGACAGCTAGTACTACGTGATGAAATCCTGTTTTTGTAAAAAGAAAAAGAAATGGATTATACGGGCCAGTGAGATGGCTCAGTGGGTAAAAGCACTTACTGCCAAGCCTGATGTTCTGAGTTCAAGTCCTGGACCTCCAGGGTAGAAGGAGAGGACTTCCAGAAGTCACCCTTTGACCTCCACACATGACTGTTCATGAAAACACACACAATGAATGTCCAAAGGTTTAAATTATGGGAAACATGTTTTATATTAAAAAGATAAAGAAAATTAACAAGGGTGCTTTGTAATTAACAAAATTAGTATCCTATGTGAGCTGTGTTATCAATTTGTTTTCCTTAAAATGGAATGTTTTCTCGCTGGACGGTGGAGGCGTATGCCTTTAATCCCAGCACTCAGGAGGCAGAGGCAGGAGGAGCTCTGTGAGTTCAAGGCCAGCCTGGTGTGCAGACTGAGTTCCAGGACAGCCAGAGCTGTTACACAAAGAAACTCTGTCTTGAAAAACAACAACAAAAAGAAAAATAACAACAACAAAATGGAATGCTTTCTCTAGAAGGACAGGCTCTGGTGAAGACAAATCCACTATTAGCATGGGACAGAGCCCAGGTGAGTACTTCTCTGGGTCTCAAACAAGGAACTCATACTAAAGCAGATGAAGAGGTCTTCCATGAAGACATGGGAGACCTAGACACGCAGGAGGGAGACATAATCCCAGGGAGCCTGTGACAAAGGACAGCAAGATCTGGACTCATCACTTAGGTGTGATCTTGTGATCGGGTGTGATCATCGTCACAGGAATGGCACATCTCCAGTGGGGTCACCAAGGTCTTATGGGAAAAAGAGGTCTGGTGTGTGGAAATGTAATGGAGGCTTTATGAGACTCCATGGCTCGGACCCATAAGGCACTAGGACCTGCTCGGAGTAAGAACAATTCCTACTGGACGAGAGACTTTATGTGTGAGAAGAAAGAATCCAAACTGAAGGATCAATAGGATGTTACTGTCCACTGTTTGGAGGAGAGAGATGGATCCTTGACAATATACAAGGTGGTACCAAAGGTTTCTAAAGGTTCCTACTGGGACAGGGAATTTAGCAGTAATGGGCAGGATGGCTGATTTGGACTTGTCACCTGAGTTGTACTTTTAATGAGTCTAGGCTTTAAACATGCAGCTTGGCCCTTTAAGGGAAAAATTCAACCTCCTATACAAGGGACATATTTATTATGAAGACACATTATACACAAAGTATAATCCTCTAACATTCTAAAATACATATATATACTGTACATAAATTTATATTACCAATATAAAAATACATCATTAACATTTCTAAGGATGACAAATACAAAAACAATAAATATCACAATTCTAAAACATCTACTTACATTAATTTAAGTGCTGGTGAATAGGATGACAGTAAAAAGGAGGAGGCCATAGCAGATCAAAACACCAACTACTGGCTTCCCATTACAGACGAGTTGGTTTGGGGGAGCTATCCCAGTATTCTCCACATACTTTTCAATGTCCCCAAACTCTGAAAAGTGCCTGATGTCATCAACTCTCAAAAACAGAGTGAAGAAAAACTTGACATAAGGCATTATTTTCTGATCACTCGCACACACCCACTTTAACCGCATTTAGTGAGATAAAAAATGTCAATCACAGACTTAAGCTTAAAATCAACTCCCTTCTAGGGAGTACTCCAGCAGAATGCTTCTCTTCTCATACTTACCTACTGTGGTTCATATTTCATTGCGTTTTCCTTTCAAAAAGTAAGATTGTGTTGATCAAATAGCACTAATAAAGGGGAAAATGGAACAGCAATTCTAGCGTTAGGCACAAATGTCAAGAATGGCCAAGGAGCTTGCTATGAACCTCAAGAGTACTGTGCCCTAACAGATGCGTGGCCCAGACTTGGCCACAGCTTCTCCTGTGCCCAAACTCCCACTGGATGACTGCCACAGAGCTGTTCTTCTGATAATACCGAGGGAACTTTCTGAGCTTTTCAAAATGTGAAAGACTAGTCTAATCCATCTTACCCATGGGCAAGATTTTCAGAGTTTGGCAGACACATACAACTAGCAAAGAAGTCTGTGAGAGCTGTATTTAAGCCAGAATATTTTCCTATGGGTGTGTTTTTATCATATAAGCGAAGTATCTGATGCGTGGCTGAGAGGAGGAAAAGGGGGACAAAGCATTATTAGCATTCGATTGCACACACTAAGTCAGGGAGGGCTTCTTGTCAGTCAAATGGGGACTCTCACAACCATGTCCTCCCACTAGAAGTCACACTTACTTTTTTACTTACACATGTCAACAGCCTAACTTTTTTCTTATCTTCATACTAGTCTGGAGGTCTAGAACTCGGGGTGACACAGCATGAGCCCTTCACTCTACAAGCCAATCCCACGAAGGCAGCCACTACAAGAGCTCCACTGGTCTGGAGTTAGACCCTGCAAGGTGGGCCTGGGAGGTGGGGAAGGGGCAGCGCTAGGGCAGGAGTGTCCCTGGAGGTATAGACTTAAAAGGAAGGCGTACATTTCCAGAAGAGCTTCCTTCAGAAATGGAAGTCACAGACTCTGTCGGGTCTGAGACCATTCCCAGGTCTGGTCCAGAATGCAGTTGGTCTCTGATGTCCTCATCGTGAGTGCTTCTTAAGAGATCAAGTACAGCTCAACAGAGCCCGGTAACCCATGTCACACTGACTCTGCCATTACAGAATCAGGGTCATTCCAAGGTCCCGGGACTCCTGCACTACTTCTGGAAAGGACCTTCCAGAATGACAGGGACTCTATGTTACCAATACACAGAGTTGCGAAGCCGGCTCGGTGAATGGCAATGATCCTTGGGTAGAACAGATTCTTCTCTGGCTACCAAATGTCCTCAGGTGCAGAGTGCCAGGAGCAGGGGAGTAGGAAGTTCAGGCTCCAGTCTTTCCCAAGCATGTGGTGTGCCTCATCAGAGCTACACTGGGAAGGGAACTTGGCTATGGTCTTCAGGACACCTGTGCAGGAGCGTTTGCTACTTCTTGGGCTTCTCTAGGATGTTCAGGAATTTGCCTCTTGTCATCTCTCTGGCTGAAATCACAAAGTAAACAAAATATTAATGAAAATCTAAAATAGAAAAAAGGGAGTACAGGAAAATTTAAGTTAAAAACACAGATTGGAACAAGAGACCCAACTTCCCCAAAGTGTCTGATTTCCACCCTTGTCCTGTGCACCTGCACTTACATGTTAATATAAAAAGTATATTGGTAATTAAATCAATTGGTACATAGTTAAATAAATTGTATACCAAACTGCTACCCCAACAAATTCAATCATCACTAGTGCTCTAAAAGAGGCAAACAAACCACTACTGACAATTAGAACTGGACAGCAAATCTGAAGTTGGCAACTGTTTAAGTATAGATGAAGGAGATGGTGGCTGGGGGGGGGCAGGGGAGACTATCAGCTATCCTTACAAAAACTCCTAAGGGAATTCCCAGTAAGCCTCTCTGTTTCTCTGTCTCTCAACTCTAATATGCATGCATGTTCACTATCTTCTGGAGTTTGTTCTGGGAGGCTAAAATCCAGCCAAGATTAGAATCTTGTCTGGACTGTTGGTCTCTGCACATTTATAAACTCAAATCAAAACCAGTCATCACGTAGCAGTGGAGGCCCTGTGTGCTGTAATATACCAGGGTTTATATTCCCTCAGTGCAGTTCATCTGGGGATGGTGTAATAAAGCAGGGTTTATAGAGCTTTGGTCTTCTCTCTCTTGGCATTGTCAGTCCGTAGGTATTTAATATAGCCAGGCAAGGTTTATGTGTCTTTCTCTGACTTTCAGCACCATCAATCTCTGAAACCTAGTTACTGCTAGCTTTATTCAGCTACTTTCCTGTATGGAAGGAAGGCTCCAAAGTAAAAGTAGAACATTTCCCAATTAAAAGTGGCACCATTCTAGAAGCCCCCCATCGCAATAAGCATGTGCGTGCAATGTAACCCCATCCCGCTTTAACCCCATCTTCACTCCACAAAGCAATTTCTAGATCTCTTAAGTGGATTTAACAGCTCTGAAAGTTTCTGATGGCTAGGCTGGAAAGCCAGGAGTCTTCCAGAACTATGCAGTGGACATAGGACAGGCGGTCTCTCACTGCCTCACAAGAACATGTTCTTGGCTAAAGAAAGGAAGTAGCTAGGGAGGTGCCTACAGCAATGAAAAGGATGTTTGCCCCATCTTCTTGTTGCCTTTATCTGGGACAGAGCAAATGATGAGACAGATCCCCCACTCCATCAACCAAAACTTAACAGCTGCTTGTTTGCCAGGCCTGGTGGTAAAGGCCTAGAATCCTGGCCAGTCACAGACCTAGTCATAAGATAAAGTAGATAAAATAAGGCCTGGGGATGTAACTCAGTTGGCAGAGTACTTTCTAGAGTGTAGCAGGCTCTAGGTCCAATCACCAGCGTGGCAGAAACAGTCCCCAGCGTCCCTGCCCATACCCTCGTTCCTTATATGTACAATCTGTCATGACAAGGAGGCTTCTGGGTCACCGGCCCACCCTTCCCAGTGTTCACTAGCTCCTGAGATCCAACAAAAGGAGGAAATTCTGTCAGCTAGGTATGCAAGTTCAGGGGGAGTGTCTCGGTGCTGCAAAGGCTGCCCAAGCCCAAATCTTGGTGGGTTTACTCAAGTTTTGTACCTGTTTCTTCTACTAAATTGAATAATGCTGGTTACATAAACAATAATATGAAAAGAAAAATAGGAACACAGGAAGTGCTAATGCTTCCTCTAAAGTCAATTAAGTCTAGACAGTGGTTTTCGGTGAACTATTCTCTCTGTGATATGTTTTTATTTTTATTTCAAGAAAATTATTTCATTTTCTTTTCTTGAGACAAAGTCTCTATGTAGCCCTGGCTGGCCTGGAACTCACTAGATAGGACAGGCTGATCTCAAACTCACTGACCCACTTGCCTCTGTCTCCCAAGTGCTGAGATTAAAGGCACCTACCATCCCCAGTAAACAACAATAGACTTTATTTTATGTGTGTGTGTGTGTGTGTGTGTGTGTGTGTGTGTGTGTGTGTGTGTGCACATGTCACAGCACCCATGTGGAAGCCAGAGGATAGTTTGTGGGGTTAGTTCTCTCTTTCTATCCTGGGTTTAAGGGACTGAATTCAGACTGTAAGCATCTGAGCCATTTGATGGAAGTAATGCCAAATTAATGGAGATCAGGGGTCAAGAACTAACTACTCTAGAAGAAATTCAATCAACTACTTAGCTAAGGGGAGAAAGCAAGGATACCTTATAGAGAATCTGAGATTTGGAGCTGTGTGGTAGACTGTTTTCCTAGTACTACATAAACTGAGCATGGGGGTGCATGTCTGAAATCCCAGCACTCTGGAGACAGACAACACAGGAGGGCCAGAGCTTCAAGGCTGTACTCAGCTACAGAGTGAGTGAGAGACCAGGGAGACTATAGGGGGGGAAAAATCAAAGAGAACAAAGAATTTGAACTCATTTCTAGCTCAAGTATGTAGTCGCTGGGTAAGCCTCACCTTCCTGTTACAACAGGAGCAAGCAGAGCCCATCTCTACCTTCTCTTGGATACTGTCAATATAGTGGCAATCACTAACACAATCATCTTTAGAGAGGACAAGTTTTATTACCCCTCACATTTTCTGAGTGAATGAATAGATCAATGATGATGAGGGAGGTCAGGTATCTCAAAACTCCACTGAGTGGAATCTCTAGCTTAACCCAACCTTTACAAATGTACTTACTCTTTGGGGTAGAGTGGCTACAGGGGTTAACTGCTTACTCTTGAGGGTAACTCAAGCAGCATGAGCCTGCAGTGTGGCAACCAGGAACAGGTAACACAGAACCCTGACACACCCTGATTTCAAACCTCCCAATTTCTTACTGTTATGTAAAATAGGGATTTTTATTTATGTGTGTGTTTTAGCTGTATGTATGCATGTTTAGCACCTGAAGAAGACAGAAGAGGGAGTCAGATTCCCTGGAGCTGATGTTATAGACGGTTGTAAGCTGCCATGTGGATGCTGGGAACCGAACCCAGATCCAGTGTAAGAGCACAAAGTGTTCTTAACCACCAAACCATCTTTTTGCCTCTTACTGTTGTCCCAACCCAGAGTGAAAGAATGACCTGGATGGTTAAGACTTAGAATTTTAAAGACTCAAATATTTGAGGGCTCAAGAGTCTAAAAGGAAAAATAAGCAGAGATTCTGAAGTCTCTCAGTGGTAAATTTTCCTTGAATTTAACCAATCCCTTTTCGTAACAACTCCTTTTCCACTCAATCATCTCTCCCCCTTCAACCTAATCCAAGTACACAGAGTTGCAGGAAACCACTGTAAAAGTAAAAGCAATTCAAAAGACATCATCTTCTACATGGGAGGGGAGAAAGTTTCCCTTCTTGCCAGTCCCATATAGGAGATATACGAATGTATGACATAGCCGCTCCCTAAAGAGGGCTGTGTCCTATAAATCAGATCCTAAGCACCAACCCCTTTTTGTGCACAGGGAAATTGCTATGGGTCAGGGGCTGCTCCAGAGCAAGTGCCCTCCTGTTCACTTGTCATCAGGAATGTTAACATTTCTGATTAATTCACACAGCCCTTTTTTTTATTCCCCATTTCTTTAGCCTTGCTCTCTTGATCTGTTGCAGTGTGAAGATTTTTACCCAACCTTCTACTGTAATCATCACCCGCATACTGCACCCCCCCAAACCTAGTGAAATTGTTTAGTGATGCCAACCGCGCTTTTAATTTGCAAGACATCAGACACAGAGGTAATTTATACCAACATCTGTTCATTTTTGACTTCTGAAACAAACTTGCACATGCTGTTACAAAATCCCATTAGGAGTAAAGAGACAGCCTTCTGCTACTGTTTCATATTCCTTATCCAGACACAGACACAGACACACACACACACACACACACACACACACACACACACACACACACACACACACACACACACCCCTTTCTTCTAGGAGGGGTTACATATGTAAATGTTTTTTGCTACTGTATTCTCACCAAAAGATTTCAACTCTCTCTTAGGAAGAGTCTTCAGAGCTGCTACTTCCTTTAGGGGAAAGGAAGCTAGCTGTCACCTCCTGCCTACCTCCACCCCTCCTCTCCTTCCCAGTAGTTATAGTTTGTTTTTGTTTTTGTTTTCTGGATAAATGGCCAAGGTAGGATCTACCTTCTTGAGCTTGGCACTTGTAGTTCCTCCATTTTCTCTTGGTTCTTCTTCCCAATGCCTACAATGTGTTACAACAGGAAGCAATAGTTCAGGACTAGTAACAAGATGGGCAGTGCCTGAGGAAGAACATCTGAGGCTCTCCTCTAGCTTTTGCACGCACATGTGTGCACACACCCTCACACACACATATATACTTGGTGCACAAAAGAAACAATCCTAAAAGCTAGAGCTACGGCTCAATGGTAGACTGCTGCCTCGCAGGTTTGATACCTTGCACCACACATATATAAGAAAAAGGGGAAAGGGAGAGGAGAAGAGACCTACAGCAGCCAGACAGAGTTGTACTCGTTGGTGAAATTTGTACTTTTCTTTTAGGGTCTATTGTCTAGAACTACCAGCTCAAATGGGAAGGCAATATTACTTACGTACTTTGCAAGAGGGGCCCACTGGTCATTAGCCAGGGGAATATGTGATGAGAAGCATGACACAATGTCACATGGTGATTTACAGGCCCTCCTAGAGAGCACACAGATCACAAATGGAGAAAAGCACAACAAGACTGTCATGGCAGGGTTAACGTGAACTGCTGCTGAGTGTGGGGAGGAGGCCACTTGTACACACAGACAGGCAGCAAGTGGCTGGACTACAATCAACTCCCAGGTTTATGCTGCTTCTATCCCCTTTGTAGTTTCTCTCAGGCTGTCAGGTTCATAGTAGCTGTAAATACCTGGGTACACTTAAAGAGGTCACGGCTGAAGGGAGGATGCTATCCTGTGTACTCTGAAATAGGTGTGGGGTTAATATAATCTCTTTCCTCAGATCCTTCAATTCCCCCATCTTCCATTTTGCCTTGCCTCTAGTTCCCATTC